TAAATTGTATTATAACTGTACTGTCTCCTCCATTTTGTAAAGCACCGTGCAAATTGTTGGCACCATATAAATATATATTATTATTATAATTAAAAGGTCCTGTGTGGTGTAAGGTTGGAATATGTTTTCCCAATGGCCATAGCAGACAACATGACAAAAATTAGCCTAGATACATGAATCAAAATATGACCCTTGCTGCTAAATGCATATCAATGTTGCTTTTATGTTATATTTTTACAATGTATATGTACCTTTGTAGTCCTTGATTTATATGCCTGAGGATTTTAATTCGGCGCCCTTACCACTTTTACTGTGGCCCATATATAGCCAGAGATCTCTTTCCACACTCTTCAAATAATAAAATAAAAGGGCAGATTAGATGATGATCTTAAAAATGCTACACATCATATCTATTTTAAACAAGCTCCAGAGCAAAGATGTGAACTAACCATAGAGACATGAATGGGAATTCTACTTGAAATGCATGTTCATGTTGTAAAAGGCATTTTACTGCATATAAACAGACAAGTGTCAAAGGGCCCTTAATGTTTATGGGCATCAAAAGACAGCTGTAGACATTCCTGGGTGACCAGTCTTGAGTAAAATAGTGAATGGTGCTCACTATAATTTCTCCAGGGATTAAGCCAGCCTTGGAGTTAGATGTTTCTACTGACATTAAAATGTATGCCTAGTTGATCCAAGCATGCATAATATGTCAGTTTTTTTTTATTTTGTGTATCTGGGTCTAAAGCTGGCCATAGACATTAGATCACATGAGAAAACAATCATGCATGGTCCAAATATCTTACGATTTCCCCAGGTCTGGTCTTCTCTGAAGCTGCAGGGGTGAGTTTTGATCATGCAACCAATCATGCAATTATGCACACGTTTCCAGAATTTGTGTTCCAGAGATAAATCCCTTTAGTAGAGGGGAGTGTAGAGTTCTAAAGATTTCCTGTACTTTAAAGCTCATATGATTGCATGTGGAAGTGGCTATGCAATATTAATTGTGATGGATAGAAATATACTCAAGCATTTATATCCACACAGGTATTGCAGAATTGACTTTTTCAATTCTAATGAGTGATTGGAACATACCCCAGAATTCGTATGTACAAAGGTAGCATAGATCTTACTCCAATCACCATCTGCTTTGACACATTTCATTGTGATTGGAATAACATCTATGCTATCTGTGTAGATATGAATTCTGGGGTATGTTCCAGTCACTCATTAGAACTGAAGAAGTGGCTTGGATAAACCATGAAGTGTCTTCAACATTACAGAACAAAACTCCAGTTGAATGTGACTTAAGCTGGCCACACACCTATAGATTATCTGCAGATTTTCTATGGCCAGATGGAAAAAGTGCAACAGATTCCTCCACCTACGCTAAATGTGTAAATGGCGCAATCTCCCACGGGGCCACGCTTCAGTATCTTGCTAGTCGGCCCCGCTGGCTCTCAAAATACCTGAACAATGCCTGCATCCAATCAGATTGTTCAGGTATTTTGACAGCCAGCGGGGCCGACTAGCAAGATACTGAAGCGTGGCCCCGTGGGAGATTGCGCCATTTACACATTTAGCGTAGGTGGAGGAATCTGTTGCACTTTTTCCATCTGACCACAGAAAATCTGCAGATAATCTATAGATGTATGGCCAGCTTAACTACTGCTAGCTATACCATGACCAGAATAAACGAGAACCTTCACAGACAAGGGGTAGAGGCCATTCACCCAGCAAAATGAATATTAGATTTGCAAAGTAAATATTCACTGAGCTTAAGGAATACAGTGAAGATGTGTTCAGTATAAATAGCCAATCATGTACAAGGAAAATTTAAAAAAATTGATTTTTCTTGTAATGATTGCATGAGTGAAACAAACAGAACGTCTTCACTAAGCTAATTGAACATACACCTTGGTTAGCAAGCAGTCTCTACTCCTTTAGTAAATCAGTTCTACTATATTCTAAAATAGGTGTTAGCTCTCTAGTGATTATAATACTGATGTAAAGTGCTGTGTAAATTCTCGTTGCTATATAAATACAAATAATAATTCAAAATAAATAATAGTATAGTAGTACAATTACCTGGTCAAGAGTTTCTTATGTAGCTCTGGCATAAACAGGAGCTTTGGCTTCAGGGAAAACAATACAGATTGGCCAAGGATTTCTAACCTGTCTGAGCATTTTTATTTCCCACAAATGCTCATTTTGGGCTATTGTGACATCATCATTCGTGACTATTGTGTGTCTTGTGTCATCTTATGATCCAGGAAAAAATGCCAGATTGAAAGACTGTCATCTAATGTCTATGGGAATCTGAACTACCCTCTTTAGATATGTAAAAACAGTTTAAGAGTGACTACTTTCCTAGGTTCTGGCCTAAATTACATTCCCAAAGTACTGAGTTCTTCTGTCTCCCACTGTCCATCTACCTTCCCACACACTAATAATACCACATCTGAGGTGTATAATCTTTGCTGATATTAACATATGTGGCTTCTGGTACAACTATTATTTCAGGGTAAGTGAATGTGACTACAGCATCTTAATGGGGTTTGATGACATGAAGTCACCAGTTAGGAAAATGGACAAATGCAGGGCGACATACTTTAGTTCTGTCAGAACTGTAACATTTTAATATATTAATTTGTATATATTAATAACAAATCATTGTATACCTAATTAATCAAATCTCAGGTAAAGTTAATTGATTCTTTAAAATGATGTGTTTTATAGAGTATACCAAAGATTGTAGCTGTCAAACCTGTGGTGGAACTATAACTAAAAGCCTAGCCTGAAAGTCAGAAGCTATTTATCAATAGACTCTTTTTCCACAGCAAGTTTAAAATGTGCATATCTAATATGTAGTATATGCATGGCCACTCTAATCATGGAGAGCTTAGTGATTTGATTGAATATGCCTCCTATCATTGATTCCTACTGCTAATAAGTTATAGCATTCCCTTGTTTACAGTAAAGCACATGATGCATTTACACAGGAACAATAAAAGGAGGCTTTTCCACCCAGCTAAAATTCTCTAGTGTCTTCCTATTGTAATTTTTTTTACAGGAATCTAAAAGTGTCTTATGTTTTCAATATTATGGCATTCTTTCTATGGTACATGTCATTTTGTAAATATTACGTGTGTAAGCAGAAAAGATTAATGTGGACTCAATATGTAAAGGAGAGTGACATTTAGAAACATGACAACTACATTATATAACAAATGGAGTAAGAGCGCTACCTAGTGGTCACAAGCAGATCGGTCGGGCTATAAATTTGTTTATCTTACCATAAATGTTTATTTCACAGCAATTGAAGTTATTGCTGTTATCAGGTTTGTAGGAATAACGCTGCAATCCTTGTCATTTACAGAACATTTAAATGTCGGGACTTTAACCCATATGCAAGGGTTTATGTAACAAGTTTCCATTTGTCTTCCTTTTCCTCTCCAGAATATAAAATCGGGGAATAAAAAAATGAACGCCCAATGAACCCGATCATCATTGTTCAACATCTTATTAATGAATGGATGGGAAAAGACTGCCTATCACACACCCATTTTACAATGCACAGCGTCATTAATAAACACTGGTAATAAAATATATGTATTTATATTGTGAACCTGATTTTAATTCATTTTTATGGTGTTTACTACAGCAATATATATATTTTTATAATAAATGAATAAGTTCAGTATTATTTTCCTCTTGATTTTTAAAAAAAGTTAATCAATCAAGTACCAAGTTTGGCAAGGATATATTTTATTTTAAAAAATAAAACATTTTAAGAAATCCATTGGAACTTTTTTGGTGGCAAGGAAAAATAAACAATTTCCTTACCCCACAGCATGTTCACATTCAGAAGTTGGTATATCTTTATATCTATATATCTATATATAGATATATAGATATATAGATAGGTATACTTTTTTTAAAAGAAAATGATAGAAACAAGATATTGGTACTTGATGTTTAAACAAGAAGGCCTACACAGCATTGAACGGGAATTTTAATGCTCGGATGCGGTGGACATGGACATATGTGCTTTTATGGTCCAGAATAATCCGAGTTTCTCAGCATTTCATTTTCAAGAGACACAAACCCCAAAATAAGCCCTTTTTAAAGAAAAAAGCGCCATGGTACACCATAAAACCATTAAGACCAGACGTCTAGCCGTTCAAATGACTTTATTACACCCCAGTTCTTCCTGTTTTAAAAGAATGCTAAGTGTATGTTGCTGTCTGTGAAGTTGCTTCAAATACAACACCTCTTTTTTTCTACAAGGGCAAATGCTTTATTTTGTTTTTCTTATAATATCAGATTGTCCAAACACAAGTCATGTACGGTAACAAAAAAAATGTAAACACAAAAATAACTTAGTGCTTTCTGCTTATTTCCGAAGGGAAACAAAATAGTAATAGCTTTCTCCTAATAACCTCCTGTTTTAGGTTTTGTGGAGCTGGAAAGTCAAAAACAGACAAACAAAACAAAACAAAACAATTGGAACCCCCATCAGTCCTTAAATACACCAATAAAAGATGTGTGGATGGGAGATGTAACAGTCCCTGGCATTGAACGTTCTGATTGTAGAAAACTAGTTGTAAAATGTCACTTTTACACATTCAATGATGAAGCGTGAGAATTATTTGTTGGCAGTTACAAGCCACTGTAACAGTGCAGTATCCCTGAATATTCCTTAATCCGGTGCTCTCAAACATTGTTCATCCAATTCCAAATTTGAAACTATTATTCCGACACCAATGCTTTTTAATCTTCACCTCTAAACTAGTTTTTTGATGGTTTCTAACTCACATGTAGCGAACATGGGAACGAGCCAAAATGTTCTCTTCTCAACGAATGTTGTGCAATTGTATCACTTTTTGGGGCCAAATCCGTTAACAGTATTCAAGTAAGGATTAGGCTGACTTTTAACTAGATTTTAAATTTGTAGGTTTCCTTTTTTTTTTGGTACATATTGCAATTTAAACTGACCAGTCTTGCAAAACAATGAGGGCACATTACAAAAAAATTGTAGGAAAAGAAAGAGTAGGTCTGAATCTGAATTGTTATTAGAACAATCTAGTGTGTATACCTTTATCAGTTGACACTAATAAAATCTATTAGTGTTACATTACATGCAGACAGTATTTTTGCGTCATTTCGCAAGGATATGGAAAATCTTTGTGTTCTACTGGTTTGAATGTAAGCAATTAACACTTCCCTACTGCTGACTTCAACCAATGTAGCACAATCCACAGTTATTTTCTGCTATCTTAATGAACTGAGCTACACTACTTGTAGTTCAACCCCCTAAAAGATCTAGCAATACCTACCTGGAAATTCTAGCGTGCAATCACAAAAGTATTAGAACGGAAACAGTTCAAAAAAAAAAGTCTCATAATGAAGCGCACTGACTTAAAAGGAGGTCTGCAAAATACACAACACATTTACATCTATCTCCAAAAAAATGGACCTATATATATATATATATTTCAGTGTTCCAAATAGTACAGAGATCATTCAGTGCGTATCCGATGCTGCTATTGGTCTTTATTGCCTTTTTCTTTGTTCATTTTCTTCATTTTCATCCTTCTGTTCTGAAACCAGATTTTGACCTGTCTTTCAGTGAGGTTTAAAATTCGAGCCACTTCGTAGCGACGGTCTCGGGTGAGGTACATATTAAACAGGAATTCCTTCTCCAATTCCAGGGTCTGGTACTTGGTGTAAGGGCATCGTTTCTTCCTGGTGGAACGAGCGTGGATCCAGTTTGCTGCAGGATTGCCTAGAAAAGAGAGAGAGAGAGAGAGAGAGAGAGGATCACCATCATCATAACAATAATAAAAGGCTAAAGCTTTGAAATACAGCTAAATTCGTTTCCAATCAGGATGACCTACTCGCCCCGCTTTTTAGAAAGAATTATCATAAAAGGAGTCTTAATGCACCCGGAGTGTTTACAGTACCGATGATGTCTTGATCTTAGGTGGTTATGTGAGTAATAGAATAATTTTATAGCCTCTTGTTGCTTGCTTGGGCTATATGCTAGGCGTCTAGACGGTTTTATAGGTTAGTAAAACTATCAGTTTTGCACATTTAGAGCCTTGCAGTTTCGGGCTATAAATCAAACAGCAATTTCTTTTTCTTGCTCTTTCTCTCTCTCTCTTTTGTACTTACTTGGGTCAATTTGTTGTTGTTGCTGCTGCTGTTGTGGTTGCTGGGGCTGCTGTTGTTGCTGCTGTTTCTCCTCTTTTAGCTCACTGGCATCTGCTTCCTCGGTGGGTGCAGGCTCTTTAGGTGGAGGCTTCTCTGGGGTTTCTGCAAAGGAATTACACGTGTACTCTGAAAGGCCGATCCCCTGGGACTCAAAGGATGAGCACTCGGTCCTTTTAGGTGTAGTCTCAGGTTTGATCCCGTAGCTGCGCCCATTGGGGTGGAATCCAGGGAAGGAGGACGCAGAGCTGGAGATCGGCTCCAGCCAGGAGCGCACCGTGTATCTGCTGCTCTCTGTTGCTAGATGGGACTGACCCACGTAGGGATGGTAGATCCCAGTCATTCCTGAGGAAGGCTGAGGGTGCACCGTGGACCAAGACGCAGGGAAGACGCCGGATTTGGACGCAAAGCTGCAAGAAGAGAAATCTGAAGGTTCTCCAACACCTGGTGGCCTAGAGGTCGTTGTGTGACCTCCCTGGGAGAATCTAGCGCCGTACACCTCCTCGTTCTCATGTCCTATGATAGAATCCACATAATAGTTACTTATGGTGCCACTTGACGACATTTTAGGCTCCCCTCTCCCTCATATAAAAGGTTACACTCTTAACCGTATGTAATACCCTCCCTGAGAACAATCATAGTATTTTGCAGACTGCATCCTCCGTCCATTGGTTGCGGGCTCCACGTGATCATATTTACCAATACAGAGTAAATCAATCCGCTTAACGGGACTGATGTGATTAAAAACACATACAATTAAAAATAAAAGTGTAACTAAGCCGAGATATATGGAAGGAAGCATCCGGGGAAAGAAGGGGGGAGGGGGGCACCGCCTGATTCCACCTTTGTGCCTTTTTAGACTCTGCTTCTTGTTAAAAATGGAATGCTGGCCAAGCAGGGACTATTTCTTTCTCCCTGCTCTCTCCCTGCCATTCATTTTTAATCACTTTGCTGAATTTGTTTAATTACCCTTTAAACTGTGGGGACCCACACTACAGAAGCAGGCAACACACGCTCAGATTATTGACCTTTGGGTATAAAACTTGTTTTACTGGCCACAAACAAGGAGCTATGATGAAATCAAGGAGGAAGGCAGCAAAGCACGTTGCTGGTGCTCAACAGCGTTCAGAAACAGTTCATATTTACATATGAGAGGGCATTCCGGGCTCACTGTGTGAATTGGAGAAAAGCTCGCAGTGTTTTTAAAAACAGGTGGAAGAGTACTATCATGATTTTTATGAGATTCAATAAAATGTTATGAGGTGCATTTGATTATACATTAATGTGCCCTGTAATCAAATGGTCTAAGAGAACATTAAAACCTATGCTGCTGAATTGATCAGCTACTGGGCTCCTGCTATTGTCCTTTTAAGTGTTAGTGCATCA